ATATGATAGCATTTGGAAATGCAAAACAAACAGGCAATGGTGACTTGTGTCATATTTATCTATCAGGTTAGAGGCAAGCACTGAGGTTCCAGCCACGAAGCTAAAAGAAAAATTCTTTTAGGACCAAAATCAGAAACCAAACAAAGTAACACCTGGAGCAAAAACAACATTAAGCATTTCATTTATCGGTTAACGCACTGTTTTCTTTCAGCCTAAAATATTTGTCACCTTCCACTGTTTTTGAATATACAGTATTCTGGAAACATTTTACATGCGCCGTATTGGTCAACGTTATAATAGTATGATGGCACTACCAGCTACTGCAACTGAATATTCCTATATTCTCAAAACCCAAATAACGATGTGCTTGTCCACTGGTGTCTGAGCTCCAGAAGCCACAACTAATGTAAACACTTCCCACAGATCTGGTGAGTAGGCCATCCCACTGCATAAAGGTCGCACTCCTTTCTCCAGAAAGCCATTATTACACAAGTAGCATGGGGGCGTGCGTTGTCCTGCTGCTTGTGTAAGTTTATGTCAGATTGAGCCCACAGGAAAGTCAGCATGTTGGAATCAATCAATTTGATTTTTTATACAGTGCCTTTCAATCCAGAGCACCTCCAGGCATTTTACATAAATATACATGTAAAACACGTACAGCAAACAGAAATGACAAAAAAGATGCATAAATATTAAATTAAAAGAAAGAAACAGGATAGGTTTCAGTAGCTGATGAAAGTAGTGCCGCACAGGTAGGCCTAATTTCTACAAGTGGACTTCTGCAGCAATTAGACAGTCCTGTCCAGAGTTTCACACTTTGTCCTGCACATGGACTGGTCTGTTGTGTGGAATTTACTGCTCTGCACACATCACGGAGCTCTACACAAAAGTGACACACAACGGTGATGAACAGTGCTGAGCACTGGACCATTGTGTAGTGTCCTGACTCGCTCCAACACCTAATCACATCTCAATGGCTTGTACTGTACATGGGCTGTTGCAAAGCTGTCCTTTCAGATGCTATGGAACAGGTAGAGTGAAAATGATCGTGAAGATGGAGAAAGGCAACAGTCTCTTGATAAGGTGACTGGGTGATTTTCACCCAGTTTGACATTCAAGAGGTTAAATCTTAACGGCACAGTGGCGCAGTGGTTGGCATTACAGCATCACAGCAAAGATGGGGCTCAGTACTCAATTTCTGAGGTGATATTGGTGT